ATGCGTTGGGAATTGACAAGATGCCTGCAACTTTGACCGCAGAAAAGAAATTACGAAAAGATAAGAGGGCAGTTTCTCACATTCATCTTCATATATCAAATTCCATTTTTCAAGACGTTTTCAAGGAGAAGTCAACAGTTGTTACACTCTCAAGCAAATTGCATCTCAATCAGTTGTTATACTCTCATCGCATGACAGAAGGAGGATCATAGGAAGATCACCTGACTATATTTAAGGAGATCGTCGCTGATGTAGAAACATTAGAAGTTAAGTATGATGAAGAAGATTTGACTTTGATCCTATTGTGTTCGTTACTCGTTTTGCTTTCTTCATTTAAAGACACGATCTTATATAGTTTTGATACTCTCACCATTGAGGAGGTTTATGATGCTGTGTTTTCAAAAGAGAAGATGAAGAATCTAATTTCTAATACCAGAGATGGAGAAGGCCTGGTTGCTCACGGTGGTTCTGCAAGGGACATATCGAAGTCTAAATTCAGTAATCAAATTTGTAACTACTGCAAGAAGAAGGAGCACTTAAAGAAGGATTGCTACAAATTGTAGAATAAAGAAAGGATGCCTGTAAGTAGATATTCAGATACTTTGGGCGAAGCAGATCTCGTGGAGAACGTTGTAAGTGATATGGAACTTTTAGCTATTTTTGACATTGAGTCTAAATCGGAAGATGATTGGATTCTTGATTCAGCAAGTGTGTTTCATATGTATCCTAGTAGGACTTGTTTGCTACATATGAAACTATTTCTAAATGTGTCGAAGATGATTGGATTCTTGATTCAGCAAGTGTGTTTCATATGTATCCTAATAGGACTTGTTTGTTACATATGAAACTATTTCTAAATGTGTCGTGGTTATGGGAAACAACGCATCTTGTCGGGTTGCTGGAATTGGCACAGTCAGATTGAAGCTTTTCGATGGGACAATTACAGCACTTGGCCAGGTTCGGCATGTTTCAGATTTGAAGAAAAATATCATCTTGTTATCTATCATTGATTCAAAATGTTATGAGTTCTTTGATGGAGGTAGAGTTTTGAAGGTTTGTAAGGGTGCACAAGTTGTATTGAATAGACAAAAAAGGTCTCGATTATACATCTTGCAGGATCGTGCAGAATTTAGAAGAGTCAATCACAAGTTCAGGACCATTGTGGACATTTAGTTTGGTACAATACCTTTAGGAGCTCATAAATGGTCGGATTTAAAGAATACAGTTTAGTGGAGTTCAGGAGATATGGATAATGCTGCTTTACTATCATCACCTGCGGTGCCATTGTATTCAATTGCTAGGGACGGACCTAATGAGAAAGGGTATGTGGATGCTGATTTTGTTAAGCACGCTTTAAGTGGAGTAGAATGTATACAATCTAGCATGGAGCCTTCTGTAAAAGCATTTGATATTGATTCTACTTTGGGGTGTGTTACATCCCATTTTGGTAAATTATAAAGTTATTAAGATTTTTTGGAATCTGAGGTAATTCTGCAGAGTAGTATTTGGATTCATTGGAAGATGTGAAATATTTTGTGTTTGGTTGGAGAAATCATTTTTTTTTTGTTATTCCTTGGTAAAATTTGTGTCAAGGTGGAGATTGTTAGAATTTGTGATCCGAATTCTTTGTTAAAGTAATTGAATAATTCTAATTGAAGTGCACATTATGAAAAATTCAAATTTGAAATATTATTGGAGTCCTATGTCATGTTAAAGCTCTATTTCGGAAGCCCATTGGAAGTTGAAATTTG